AATTCGAGAATGCTATAATCAAAGATCTATGCGAATTATATGACATCAAACTAACATTTTCTAGTGTTAACCATCCACAATCTAATGGGTCTGTGGAAAGATTTCATGCCACACTCTCAGAAATGATTAGAGCAAATCAAGCCGAGAACCCAAACGATCATCCCTTCACTATACTTCCTTATGCAATAATATGCTATAACAACACAAAAAATAAGACCCACGGTTTCACACCATATGAACTTATATTTGGGCACACTGCAGGCCGTCCACCAGAAACTCTATACAATCAAAAAACACTAATGAGCAAGTATATTCGAGACCTGAATAATCGCATGGAATATTATTACAAAGTAGCCAAAGCAAAAACAGAAAGACAGAAAGAAAAGGCGAAAGTAAGATTTGACGAGAATATTTCAGAACGAAGACCTGATTTTAAAATTGGTGACAAAGTTTACGTAAAGGAATCCCAAATTAAATCAAAATCGGATAATCTTTTTAATGGACCTTTCGAAATTCAAGAAGTTTTTACAAATTCCGCAATTATTCTTAACCCCAAAACTAACCAAACCTCTAAAGTAAATTTTGACAGACTGAAACCTTATTTTGAATAATTTTCCTTTACAGATTCTATGGACTCCTTTCTATCGTCCAATCCCAAATTCTCCTCACTCCAATTAATAACACAATTGGAATATATTTTCATGAAAAAGGAACTATACGAATATCTAACGACAAATGGACTTTACTTGTTTACAAAGAATTATTCCCTATCAAAACTACAATATCCAACAATGACAGAATTTTGGAAAACCTATTAGAAAAATTTATTAACGTTGATACACCGAGAAAAATTGCCTTTCAAGCCGAAGTACAGACACATGTTAGTCTGCTAAAACAAATCTCAAACTCCGTTAACTTAAAATATAAAGAAATAACCTCCGACACAGTACCTTATAATAAACGCTTAAAACGCGGTTTAGTAAATGGTATTGGAACAATCTGGAAATCTATTACTGGAAATTTAGACGCCTCTGACGGCGAATACTTTAATAAATGTATAAATAAGATAAATTCCGATGAAACTCAAATTGAAAATCTCCTAAAAAATCAAATATCTGTTACCACTTCAGTTATAAGAACTTTCAACACTACAATTCAAAAATTGCAAATAGACGAAGAAACCTTTAACAAAGACTTACAAACTATCGAGACTACACTTCTGGACATTAATAATGACATCTCCTTTTACCAAGCACAATTACAAATACTAGATTTATGTGAGTCCTTAATGGAAAGTTACGTATTTTTAGAAAATTATTTAAATGATATACTAAATTCTATCACATTCTCTCGCCTGCAAATTCTACATAGCTCTATTATTTCGCCCATAGACTTATTAGACGCATTAAAAGAAATCTCACAGTCATTACAAAATAACGTATTGCCTCTACCCACTTATATGTCAAATATAGCTCAGTATATTGACATAATAAAACTACAAGCTTATCAGCTTGATTCAAAAATTGTTTTCGTTCTCGAAATTCCGTTAGTTGATCCCGAAATATTCACCTTGTATCAATTATATTCAATACCAATATTAGATAATCAAACTGGTTTTCATCATATACTTTCAACTGTTCATAAATACATTGCGCGAGATGATGATTCAATTTCATATGTCTTACCCATGGACACCGAAAAATGCAAACAAATCAGTCAAAACCAAAGAATGTGTACAGACATTCTTCCGTACCCCATAGACACAGATGCTATATGTGAAGCCCAGCTTTTGAAACCTCTCAGCAACTTACCAAAAACTTGCCAGATGTCCATGCTCTTGGCACAAGGATACAATGTACAGGAAATCGACCGAAATTTATGGTTACTAACCATTTCTGATCTATTACCAGTAACGATCAAATGTGCAAGAAAAGAAGTCACTACACAAATAATCAAAACAAATTCAATCTTAAGATTAATTCCCGAATGTATTGCATTCATCGGCAGTACCAGAATTCATGCTAGAGACCAAATTGAGAAATATAAAAATATCACGTATAGAAGTCACCCAGTTAACGTACCCTACAGATGCTGTGACCATTTTGAGACAAAGAATCACCTGTCAAAATTGAAACCACTAAAACTCAGTAAGATCAACGTAGATGACTTAAATATTGCACAACACAAATTGGACCTATATTCAGAAGAACTGGACCATATTATGAGCCAATCATTCATTGAGGAACATCTACCCTTATTCACTATATCAACCTTATCCCTGATTATTATCCTAGTTATTCTATACCTTTTCTGCAAATACCGAACCAAAATATTCCCAAAAATTGCAATCTCCTTGTCCCAGGATCAGCCTCCAACTTCATTACCACGCAGAAATTCCATTAGACAGAAACTTCAAAGCCTAACCTCCTTCAGAAGAAGACCCAATGTCCAAGAAGAAAGCGAAGCAGAAACACCAATTACTCTGTAAAAGTCAAAGCAATGGCATTGACTTTTCACTAATAAGGGGAGCTGTTATATGAGAAAATATTAACCTTGAACTAGCTTAAGTTCGCCGACTTCAGATTTCATCATTTCATTCCCATAGAAACAGCTGAGCACGCAGTAGAACTTTGTACGAACCGTTGGCCAATATTCATGGGAACAGCGATTCAGCACTTCATACCAAATCTATAAATTGCCATTCTCAGATGCCGGGACCACTCTTAGCTGCAACTTCGACCAGTCCAGTTATTGTAGTCATTTTAAATTAATTTAATTTTGTACTATTATTTAATATTTAATTTGTAACAAATAAAGTTCTTTTTTAAAAAGTTAAACTCGTGATCAGTGATCTAACATATATATATATAAAGTAAAATAATTCAGATAAGTAGGATAATACCCAACAAACATTTCGAAGAAGGAAAGTATTTAAAATTTTTGGATTACCTGTATTAAACAAAATGTACTATGCATAAATTATTTCTTTTGAAATAATATATATATATATATATATATATATATATATACATATATATATATATATATATATATATATATATATATATATATATATATATATTCATCGATCGTTTGATCGTTTGATAATCGTTAACATTTGAGGAAAAAAAAACGATTGGAATAACATCAACGGCTCACCTACCAATAATATTAGATATACCGATGATACTATACTAATGAGAATTTATAAGACTAGATGCTAGCGAGGAAAGTGGACTGACATTTTAAACGTGACGGAGACGACATTTCAGACAATCGCAAAACACAACAACCAGGCACTTTAAATATAAAGGGAACTAGCAAAAGCTAAAAAATACAGATACCCCAGTACAATTATTATTAATGGCAATAATGAGTATACAGACAAAAAAGGGATGAGAATGAGACTAGCTAGAGCGATATTCCATAAAACGCGAAAAGTACTATGCAGTAGTGACCTTTGTTTACCTCTTAAAATAAGAATATTACGCTCATAGACTCTTACATACATATATAGTCTCATAGACAAATCTCACTAGAACCAGAAACTAGAAGAATTGACAATCTGACACCTCTTTGCTAATTCATCTTCGGTGGGTGATGGGACCTACCGATTCCTAGTTGTTAAAACAAATTTTCTGCCTAACAAACCTCCGATAACAAATGGGGCTCTAATCTGTCAAGGGTGAAACGTGAGTTGAGTTTACTGCTTTTGCTGCATATGGTTTATATTGTTGGCGTAAACTCAATTCTCCTTATATCAATTTAATGTAAATCTGATTCCTAAATCGTTTTTGAGGTCTTTTAACACACAACAATCTCTAGAGTCGACCGAAATAAGATTTAGAAAATAATGAATAACAACGGCTGTCCTCCACATCTTACAACTGCAAAAAAAAGTTTGTACTAACAGACAAACGAAATGTAAAATACTGGTGAGAAAAAGAAATCAACCAAGGTGTGAGACAGGGCTGTGGACTTTCTCCCACGGTTCTTAAAGAATACAATAACGACGTTTTCAAAAACTGGAAAGCAGTGTAAAATATTACAACATAAAACTGACATTACATAAAAAATCACATTATAAAACTAGAAAAGATACAAGAATTTAATCTAATATAACTAATTACAAATACATATTCCCAGAATAGAAAACGAAAGACGTCTCCCTATTGAACTCCATTCTGTAATTTTGTTTGTCCAGCGTCTTAAGTCCGCTATTTGATATGTAGCGGGCTAGTTTTTTCCTCTAAATATTCGATAATATTAGAGTTCATTTCCATACAATTTTTTCGTATCTCACTTGTGGTGCCTTTATTTATTTTTTTTTCTTATTTGTTCTACACCGTTCTGGCCCTTGGTTAGTTGTCTTATGGTTATGGTATTGTATGTTCTCATGATGTACCAAATTAACAAGCTTATACGCAGTAAAGAATAATATAACCACACAATTTACAATACAATCATAGTTGAGAATGAAAAAAGCTTTGTTTGTTTAATTTGGAGATCTGCTTAGGAAATAACGTCACAAATTAAAGATTACCAACATGAGTTGATTTTAATGCCTTTATGTAGGTAAGCCAATAAAGGACATAAAGCGATAAATAAACTAAAATAGTCTTGGATTTCCTTTTTACTAAGTAAGGTCCAATGAAGATGAGAATATTATTTTTACAACATTTATCTTATTAAAGTTTTCCCTAACTGAGTTAGCACTTTCTCCAATACGATACCGAGGTGGTATGTATCGCGATTATGAATATACTTTTCCAAACAAGAACATACTAACTTATCACATCTAAAAGTAGAAAAATAATTCTTAAATCTTCACTTCACAATGATTAGACAAATTCACAAAATGCCAGTCACTTTATGATAATGTATTCGTAACATACGTAAATCATGAAGTGGAATCAAAGAGGATCTCCTTGTTTATGTTTTAGTTGAAAATTTTTAAAAATATCCGTAAGTTCTCTTAAATAAAGAAATTGTATATTTACCTTTTAAAATTTGAATATTACTTTTGCACATACAACTTACAACTGCTTCAGAAAGAAAAGGTCATAACTTGCTGTTCGTAATTTGAATTTCAAATGACAGACGACTTTCCAAATTAATGCAATAAATCAAACATTACGAATACATTTTTTTTAGTAGTTACAATCGTTTGTTGGTAATTTTTACATTTCAATTGTATATAGTGTATATAAAACTTTTCTATTTCCTCATATACATTGATAGATTGATAGAGAGACTAGAAAAATATTTATTTATTAGTTAGGTATATACCCTCAAAGTAGGACATATCCTGTGCTTAAATTAATTTTGCCATTTTTTTATTTTTATTTCACCTTACATGAACAAGGACCCTCCATCGTACCGCTTGCTTGCATTGATAACTGATAAAGAATAGCTTTTGTAATTACTCTTGTTATTGGTATAATTATTGGTACTAAAATAACTTAATAAAAATATAGTTAAACCTAAACTAAACTACGTAATCAGTTCATTTTTTTTTAATTCAGCAAAAACAAAAAAAAAACAAGCATGTCCTTGCTATTTCTTTATTTATTTCAATCATATAAAACTTAAAAACATTACAATTTTTTAAAAAGGAGTGTTTTCTTATAACACTTGTAATTTGTCGAAATATTAACTGAACAATACAACAATTAACAAGGAATAACTTAAAATACTTAAATAAACTCATTTTCTCCTTATTTCGTACTTTCTGCATTACTATCATTCAGTTCAATAATAAATTTATTTCCACCATTAATGTGGAAATGCCGAATCTTCTTATAGTATTCTTTAACTTTGATCTCTTTGGCGATTCTATTCTGCCAGCCTTCTTTGGCATTATTAGATACTTCTCAATTAACTTCTTATCAAAAGGAAATCTATTTGCATGCCTTATACTTATACCTCCTTTTAATATTACCAAATACCTCAGGAACAATCGGGGTTTTTAAATTGTAAAGGTACACGAGGACAAATCCTGAACCTGACACAACTCATTGAAAAGTCTAGAGAATTTTAAGTACCTATGATTATATGCTTCGTTGACTGTACCAGCCCAATATAGCAACAGTACGACTAGATCAGAAGTTGTCAAACCAATTTAAGACCGAGAGAGGTGTTCGACCAGGATGCGTGTTACCACCTGACTTATTCAATATTTATGGTGAACATGTCATGAGGATGGCTTTAGATGGATAGGCCGGTGGAGTAGCAGTGGCTGGTAGGAAAATCTCCAATTTAAGATTTGCTGATGACACTAAAATTATAGCAGCAAATAAGCAAGAAATTTTTAATCTCCTGCGAAGAGTTGAGTACGAAAGCAATAAAGTTAGTCTGAAAAATAAATAAAGCTAAGACAAAAATAGTGTTGGTCGATAGATTCCACACTATTCAACTGACTAACATGTTACAGGAATACCAGATAGTGGACAGTTTTGGGTCTAGTATAACTAACGATGGTAACTGTAGCAGAAGTTCGGAGACGTATTGGTATGGCAAAAAATGCGATGAATCACCTAAATAAAGTTTAGAAAGATAGATCTATCTCTCAAAATATCAAGATAATATTGGTGAATGCCCTTGTATTCTCAATATTTCTATACGAGAAAAAGACTTGGACTTTTCGCGGACGCGAGCACCAAAAAATTGATGCCTTTGAGATGTGTCACTGGAGAAGAATACTGCGCAGATCTTGGACAGCTCATAGGATAAACGTTTCCATTCTAAACCAACTCGAGATTAAAAAAGGCTGTCCACAGCCTTTACATTAACTGTGGCTAAATACTGTCCACAGACTGCAATGTATTCTGCAATTTTTCGATTACGTGGTTCGCAGTGGTGACGTTAGTTTGGAGAAATTAATTATTTCTGGAAACATTCCGGGGAGAATATCAAGAGGACGATTACCAATCAGATAGTCCGACCAAATTAGGAATTCAGCTGGAAACTCAGTCTGTGAAGCTCTCAGAGCAGCTGAAGATAGAGACCAATGGTGAAAACTTGTTGGGAATATTGGAAGAAATCACGATCCTCAGTAATGGGAAATGACAACAGAGAGAGAGAGAGCCTTATATTTAAATTTAAATGTGCTCAAATTAACTCTATAGGATTGAAAACACAAAAACAGGGGGGAAATCTCAATAGTATGCTATATGCTTTGGGGCAATACTCTAAAGGGATATATTTTGTTAAACTACTTCGTGTGTAGAACTTGAATAATTTGTTTTTTTTTAATAAAATAATTTTCCATTAAAAATCTTTTAAGTTAAGTTTTCTCTGAAGAACGCTTTATGCGATGATATGATTCATTTTTAACTATTTTGTATACAGTTAAATGTGGAATTACTCTTAAATCAGAAGTTACTTGTACCAACAGTTTTTCATCGAAGTCGAATTTTTTATGTCGATTTTTGTACACATTGAAACATACTTGCTGTGTTTTAGTATTTAAATGCATTCTAATCTTCTTTACGGATACTTTTTTCGGGAATTACATTCATACCGCCACCAGCACATTCTACAAAATCAATATTGCTATCGTACGCAATATTTTCAAATACATTGTCCCTCAGATGCCACATGACCATTTAAAACAATTAGATTACAGCAAATAACATCTTACACTCCATCACGGAACTACTAAGTCAATAATAAAAAATAATTAAATTTCACTAAACTCTACACATACACTTTAGTAAGGAATTGCTTTCCAACCAAAATGCTTTGCACAGTTATTTAATTAAATTGAAATAAATAACTTTAATAATAGGTAGCAAGTCAAAAAATGGCCGCAAATATTTTCAATTCGTTTATTGGTAATTAATTTTTGACAAAATTTTATTTCATTCATTTATTTTTTAAATAAAATACGCTGCTCATGCCGTATATGAATGATTTTTTATATCATATTTTAAAGCTAAATTTTTTCTTGATATGATGATATAGGTTTGCCTACGAAATATATTTAAAAATCAGCTGTTAAAAACGCGAGGTATCAAAAATAAAATAAAATACAGCTAGCGCGCAACGCTACTGGTTTGAAGTGTCAGCTGTGTGAGTTTTGAAAGCAAGCATCGACAGATATATTTATAATAATATACATATTATCACTTATCAAATCAGTGTCGTTGCGCCCTAACTCTAATTTAACTTTATCTTTGATATCTCGCGATAACAGCTGGCAACCCTAATTTTCGACCATTTTTTCTTAGGAAATCTTATATTATCATATTAAGAAATAAGCTTTAATTTGATTTAAAGAAATGCACATACGTCAATAGCAGCATGTTTTATTTAAAAAATAAATGGAGCCCCGGTATCTCTTATAAGAATAGGAAGAATAGGAAGATTAAGATGGGCAGGACATCTAGCAAGATCACAGCAGAACAACCCTCCTAGAAAAATCCTTATGTCACAACCCGTGGGAAGCAGAAAAAGGGGTAGGCCAAAACTCAGATGGAAGGATGGTGTAGATGAGGATGGTAGAAAGATAGGCGCAGCAAACTGGCAACGGTTGGCAATGGATAGGACTGCCTGGCGTAATAGACTTGGGAAAGTCGAGGCTCTTTCATAGGGCTGTAGCACCGATGGGCTCCTCTTTATCTCTAGTAATTGCCAATATCTTCATGGAAGACTTCGAGACTCGAGCACTATCCACATCAATGCTCAAGCCCACATGTTGGCTACGATATGTTGACGATACATTCGTCATTTGGCCCCATGGCAGGGATGCTTTAGCGTCTTTTTAAACTCATCTTAATGATATACATCTTAGTATCCAGTTGAAGATGGAGATGGAAACTGATTCATTTCTACCGTTTCTCGATGTTTTCATCAAGAAAGACCAATCCCAAGATTTCCATTACTCTGTTTATCAAAAACCCACACATACCAATCGTTACTTGCACGCCAACTCTCACCATCCACCTTCACAAATTAATTCAGTCATTAATACCCTCGTCTCCAGATCAATACGCCTTTCCGATGATGCGAGTAGACCCGCTGATCTCCCTTGTTTAACACAAGCCCTTATCCAAAGCGGTTACCGCGAAAATCACATCAATAGGAGCATTCACAGACATTATTCTCCCACTCAATCTCAACCCAAAGACTCAGACCCTTATCATACGAAAGTTTTTCTTCCTTATATCAAAGGTGTCACTGACAAAATCGACAAAATTCTTAAACCAAGAGGAATAAAAATAATATTTACTTCCCAACAAAAACTTTCATCTCTTGTCCGATCAATCAAAGACAATATTCCAAACGAACAGCACGGAGTTTATGAAATTCCTTGTGCAGACTGTCCCCGATCCTATATAAGCCAAACAAATCGTAGATTCCAAAATAGGATTTATGAACATTCCATTTCTGTTCCCAATTCTGATTCAATTTCAGCTCTCGGTTAACACCATTTTCCTACAGGTAACAAAATTGATTTTGAAAACCCCAGAACCATAGATCCCATCCGCTTCTATAGACCAAGAATTATCCGAGAAGCCATAGAAATAGAAAAAAGGCCAAATTGTCTTAATAAAAGAGATGACGCCATATGGTTACCTTCTACGTGGAGACCTCTCATAACGTTATAACGTATAACGTATAACGTAACCTCTCTACGTTACCTTCTATGTGGAGAGCTCTAGGTTTCATTGTACTAACCGCGTAAATCTTTCCGAACATTATTATTATAGATATATTTAAGTGAGCCATGTGCATAGGCAACCAAATATACACTGAATTGAGTCTGTGTTATTATGACATGACATAAGAGTGAATTTTAACAGAAAGTGACATTTGAATAATAATTACGTATGTAAAATAGTGTTATGTATTAATTTAAGGTGTTTAATTTACATATAAGTTTATATTCTGATCTGAAAAGCCTAAATGTCAATAAAATTCTCGATAGAAGGGTAAATAATTCTCTAGAAAATGTCAATATAAGTAAGTTAACCCTATTTGCGAGGTAGACTATTCGAGAACGTTCATACATCTATGAGATAGAACAATTTCGAACATGATTTGTTTTAAGAATATTCTTGAACATTGAAATAATATAAATACTCAGTAGTTTAAAGGATAGGGGACAGTTGGTTCAGGAGAGTATGAG